CCCCTCCTCCCGCAGCCTCCCCCCGTACCAGAGACGCCCCAGTCCCCTCCTCATCCTCATAGCCCTCCGCTGGACTCTCTCCAGTAGCTCCTCATCTTTCTTGAACTGGGGAGCTCAGAACTGGACACAGTACTCCAGGTGCGTCCTCCCTAGGGCAGAGTAGAGGGGAAGAAGAACCTCCCTCGACCTGCTGGCCACACTCATCTTAATGCACACCAGGGTACCACTGGCTCTCTTGGCAACCAGGGCACTCTCCTTTATTATTTTTTTTAAAATTACTGTTACTTAGTTTCCTTATTTCTAGAGAAGTCAGAAAAAATAAAGAGTATGGTCAGAACATCAATATATATTAGAACAAAATAAAGAATAAATGAGTTGTTTCATATTCGCATTTGGAGGAATGGCTGAACAGAACAGTTTCCCATGGGATTGGCAGAAGCCACTGCAACACTATCTGATAAGGGAGCAAAAGACGGCCTACCAAGACATTTCTTAAGATGCTCACACTTTCTTTTTTTAACCTTTCTTTACATCATTCCCTTCCATTGCTGAAAGAAAGATACAACCTTTTGCCATACAGAAATTGTCAAAATTTTCATCAATATCACAATATGGCACTTCTCTGCTATGGTACCTGTGTTGACACTGTCATTACATTTCTTGATCTTTGGTTCAAAAAATGCAAACAGGAGCTTTCCTTGAGCACTCTTGCTGTGACTCCACCTGCTCTTACAATTGCAGGACACCAGCACACAAAGGTTTGATGATCTCATGTACAGCGCAGACATTCTTACCTTGGCTAAGCCCATGATTTTTGGAAACAGGTAAGAGGAACATCCTTCTGGGCTCTGTCCAAGTTGACTAAATGGGCTGTGAAACGTAGCCTGGGGGAAAAAACAAAAACAAAAGAACAAAACAAAGCAAATCTCACAACAGAGCACAGGACTAAAGTACCAGGATTTACTTTCTATGACCAGGTGACCTGCCTGGTGGATGAGGGAAAGGCTGTGGATTTTGTCTACCCAGACTTTAGTGAGGCCTTTGACACTTCCCCACAGCATCCTCCTGGAGAAACTAGCTGCCCATGGTTTGGATGGGTGTACTCTTCACTGGATAAAGAACTGACTGAATGGCCAAGCCCCCAGAGTGGTGGTGAACAGAGCTAAATCCAGCTGGCGGCCGGTCATGAGTGGTGCCCCAGCGCTCAGTGTTGGGTCCGGTCTTGTTTAACATCTTTATCAAGGCCCCAGTCCTGCATTTGGGTCACAACCCCATGCAACGCTACAGGCTGGGGGAAGAGGGTTGGAAAGCTGCCTGTCAGAAAAGGACCTTGGGGTGCTGGTCAACAGCCGGCTGAACATGAGCCAGCAGTGTGCCCAGGTGGCCAAGAAGGCCAATGGCATCCTGGGTTGTATCAGGAATAGTGTGGCCAGCAGGAGTAGGGAGGGGATCGTGCCCCTGTACTCGGCACTGGTGAGGCTGCACCTGGAGTACTGTGTTCAGTTTTGAGCCCCTCACTACAAGAAGGACATTGAGGTGCTGGAGCGTGTCCAGAGAAGGGCAATGAGGCTGGGGAGGGGTCTGGAGAACAAGTCTTACGAGGAGTGGCTGAGGGAACTGGGGCTGTTTAGTCTGGAGAAGAGGAGGCTGAGGGGAGAACTTACTGCTCTCTACAACTACCTGAAAGAAGGTTGTAGTGAGGCAGGTGTTGGTCTCTTCTCCCAAGTAACTAGCGATGGGACGAGAGGCAATGGCCTCAAGTTGCGTCAGGGAGGTATAGATTGGATACTAGCAAAAATTTCTTTACTGACAGAGTGGTCAGGCATTAGGACAGGCTGCCCAGGGCAGTGGTGGAGTCACCATCCCTGGAGGGCTTCAGAAAACGTGTAGACGTGGCACTTCGGGACGTGCTGTAGCAGGCATGGTGGTGTTGGGGTGACGGCTGGACTTGATCTTAGAAGTCTTTTCCAACCTATGATTCTATGATTAGTTCGCATTTTAAAGCTTCTACTGTGACAGAGTTCGCCAGAAATACATCTGCACTGTTACCGTGACAGTCTTTAAATATCATCTGGTAACACTGCTTCCTTCTCTCAGTGCATCTAAGAGCTGATTTTGTCTGTATAATTCAACTCCCTTGTCAGAACAACCCCATTGATGAAGTTACCTTATTTGAATACAGTGCTCAGAGAAACTAATTTGCATGTGAAAAATCTTCACAGAAAAGACACACACATCTGCGCTAACAGCTACTAAATACATAGCCCAAATTACTTCAGAGGTAAAGTGCATTCTGCTTTCTGAATGCACACTAAGTTTATTCTACTCCTGAAAAGTTGAAGTCACTGAATCTTATTTCCTCAAATTTTATGCAAATTAAAAAGAACCTGTGGCAGAAAAGCACCATGAGATCATAAAAAACAATACCCTAATTGCAAGTTAGAACTGAATTACAGAATTTTATGTTTTGACAACTTACATCAACTTTAAGCAAGGAAGACAAAATGCTTGCCTTTATTTCCACTTAAAAATATGAACCAATACACATAGAGGGCACAAGCTGCCAATGCAGCTTTCACTGTAACAGGAGGTTTCTAGCAAGAAAGTGACAATTACAGCATTGTAAGACACGATTAGACAACATCTGCCAGGATACAGGCTAGTGTAACTGGTCCTGCCTTAGCAAGGGGAGATGAACTACAGCAGGGGTACAAACTGCTGCCCCAGGAACTGGTGCAAAATCCAGTGCAGCAGGCAATGTTAACTGACCACCCAAAATGCCGATCTGTCGTCAGACTGGGCTGCGCAGTGTCCTCTAAACGTGGTTGGTAATGATCTGCTCTGGGAATACCTGGCTGAGAATAAAAACCGATCCTGGACACAGCAGAGGTGGCCACTTCTGGTGTACGCAGTCAATGCCTAAGGCACCCCAACCAAGCTACTGAAGAATGTGAAATCAAGTAGTAATTTGGGTAAAAACGACCTTACTGCACATGAGTTCACAGTCCTGGAAAGGGAAGAACAGAGATCAATCTCCTCTGAGATGGCTTCAGTAAACTTGAAGTTAATAGGAAAGTTCTGATGAAGACTAATCTAAGTGAAGAGCTAAGTTAGACCCTACAGAAATCCTCAGGGAACTGCTGCCAAGGACACAAGCAAAAGCTGTCCCAGCACAGGTAGGAAGGTACTAACAGACTGTCTCAGCTAAATCATGAGCTTGTCACTGACTTTAAATACAAGCACTCAGAAAGTGAGAACAAGGTCAGACAACTAAGGATGAAACACATATAAGCATGCAGATACTAAAAAAAAAAAGAAATACAAGGCAAAACCAAGAAGAATTTACCAATGATTATATATATATGAGTAGCAAAAGGAAGTTCATGTATGAACCTCAAAGTAAGAAGTACAAATCCTTCAAGAAGGAAGGACACTATTAGAGGACAAAACATTTAATGCTTATTTGGATTAAACTTCAACTAAATGTATATTAATTTATAACTGTAGGAATTATTATGCTGCGTGGGAAGTGATCAGAATTCAAAACAGCCTTAATAAAGCGGAGAGGTACGAGTAAGAAGATGCTGTTTAATATGGACAAGTTGAAGTCTGGCATCAATAACCTGGTGCACAGTACACGATACATGACTGGGACAGCTGTTGAACTGGCAACTCTACACTAAGGGATCCAGGTGTTCTAGCAGACCACAAGTACGTAAATTAGGTAACGTTGTGGGCTGTCAAAAGAGAAACACAGTCTGCAGAATGTGGAGAAGTTCTTCTGCTCTACTTCAGATCAGTAAGGCATGAACGGGAGTGGTGTGCCCAGTTTGTACCACTATGCTTAAAGAGACACAGAACAACTGGAAGGAGTCCAGCAGAACGTAACTGCGGGCCTCAGAAAGCACACGAGGGAAAACTGAATGAATGGCAGCTGTTTAGCCTAAAAAAAAAAAGAAAAGATTGAGAGAGTTGATGTAAACCTGAGACATATCTAACAGTCTAGGTACACTGGTGGCTAAGCACACTTACGGCTAGTGTAGGGAGGATGAACACAGTCTGTTCTTCCAATTCAGGAACAAGAAAGAAGAGGTTCACCCTTCAGCAAAAAATGATCAGATGGGAGGGGAGGAAGAGGGAGAACCCAACAATTTCCTAGTAAAAGAAGAGATCTAGGGACTGGAACAGACTGAATAAATCATGCACATTACACAAGCACCTGTCAGGAGTGACATGGTCCTAGCTGATCCTGTTATGGGGCAAGCAGAAGGATGTCAGTCCCTTGCAGCTCAATTTTCCTAAGCCTCATAGCGACAAACCCAATCCAGCAGGGAGTTTGAGGAAAAGTCTGACACAGTGCTGAAGCAGGAGTCAAAGTACCACCCATCATAGATACTTCTGCAAGCAAAAGCCTGCCTAAAATTAACTAAGATCTTGGGTTAAATTCTGTATCCATTTAACAACTTTATACAAACGAACAGCACAGAACAAAATATAAGCCATAAAGTGGGATTCTGTGTTATGCCTTAATATAGCTTTGGGTTCTGTCTTTGGCAAGTTACCTTAAAAGGATTCTGAAGTTGAATAAACTAAAGCTTTTCCAAAGTTACCATGGAACACAGGTTAGATAAAATGCCAGTTACTGCACTTCCATTCCTTAATAATCTTTTGCTCCCTCTCCCACAGCTGACAGGGGATGACAATCATCATTTCACATCAGTTACTCTTTACTTTACCCACCAATTCAGTAAAGAGTTTCTAAACTGGAGTCAGTAACTTGATAACCATAACTACAGCAGGAAAATTCCATGCATGTTAACCACTGGCTGATGCATCCCTGTGCTGGTAATTAATATACGTGTTCCTGGACATGATATAAGAAGCCTTTAAACTTGTGTGTTCTTTTCTGTCAGATTACCCCAAACCAAATGATATTTGCTACAGAAAGTGGCTTAAAGACTGCCTTGGGATCAGCTATGTAACGTACTTACCCTGTCAGAAGCGTAGACAATGTCACACAATCCAAGGACTGTTACAGAGATTCCAATAGCTGGGCCGTTTACCACTGCTATCAGTGGTTTAGGAAAATCAATAAAATGACCCACGAACTCTCTAGAGAGAAGGAAGAACAATGTAAGAGGCACATCCTAGTCTTTTCCATCAAACACATACAACTTCCAAAACACGATTAGATACTGCATAACAAAAACCATGAGCTAGATTCTATGTAGCATGTGTTATTTTGCCCTTTCCCAAATGAATTCTGACAAAATAAGAATTATTTGAAATACCTCCATTTCCTTACCAACTAAGAATCAAACACATACATGACAGCCCAGCTCTCCTAGTTCCTGCCATCCAGTTATGAAAGTGCTGTCCTCTTCAGCTACAGTTATTGAATACAGCTCACTAACAAGAGCAGACTTTCGCCCTGTACCTACCTGCCTGTGTATCCATCCCAGCTCTACCCACGGGATACCCGTTCCCGTCACAGATTCTGTTCTGCAGTGAAGCCCCACCACGTATCAAAATTGTGATGCTACCACAACACAGAATTCCCTATTGCTGTTCTGCACAGGTCTGAGAAATAGTATTCTGTTTCATTTGACAGCTACTTCTCCATCCAAGAAGCACAAAATACATTCTCAAAACATAGTATTTTCCAAAAGTGAACAGTGTTGTAAAAACTCCAGTTCTCTGGCATCTCTGTGCATCAGCTGCGAGGAAGCACCGTGTTTATGGAATAGGAACAGCATAGCAAATACAGTCTTCCCACAAGATGAAAGACTATGCAGTACACGTGAGACTACGCATTGTGTTGAAGACCCTACAAACACTGCAGATGCTTGCCAGATACCACTGAATGACATCTTTGCAACAGATTCAGACTGCATAATTATCACTTTGCAGGGGCAACTGTGATCCACAGACAGCTTGCCTAAGTAAAAGCTACAAAACTGAGCACTTAACTTCCAGTTCATTTTTAAAATTTAAATTAAAAACATTGCTTGCTTTTCTGTATGTATGTTTTAGATTTTCTATCAATTGCAAGTGCTTGAGGAAGCAATCCAACTTGCAAGCATCTCTCAGATGTAATCATCACATACAGAAGTAAAATACAAAATCTGCTTAAACAGGGAAGAAAGAAACATGTTGTTTGTCCCCAAAAAACATTTCTGCTGCTGTGTCATATGATGCGCCTGATCTTCTTGGCCTTAGAAAATAAATCAGTTTAATGGATAGATTCAGACTTAAAGATGGAATCAAGATGTCAGAATTCCTGGGCAATTCTGAACAAGTTCATTACATCTCGTCACTGTTCAAAGAAGTCTGACAGTGAAGGTATCTTGGCATGTCCTGCTAGTGTAGACACTGTTAGATATAAAAAAACCCACACATTTTTCATTGTAGCTTACAAACTATACACTCAAAATCATGTTTTTGTCATTATATCTGCATGTACTTTGGGGACTAAAAATAAAATCGAGTCTGTATCACTGACTTAAATAACTATACTTAACGAGATTTATAATATTCACCTCATTTCCTCATTTATTTCATACAAATAATATTACTTCTCCCACATGATCCTTGTTTTAAGACACACGGTGAGCCCTTAGAAACAGTCATCTCAGTGGATGTATCGTAGCATAACTGGGTCCCTGCTGTCGTGTTTTCTAACAATGCCTGCAAATTACATTTTACCCATTACAGTAACTTATTCATATATGAAACCAAGCTGTTCTACTTCAGTAATACTGCTCCATCTTTTGCCATCTTCTTCATTTCACCGGTTTGGACATTAGTAAAATTATTCAGATCATTTCCACTACTGTAGTAGTCTCCACTTCCTGCAGAGAACACATACAAATAAATGCCCCAATGGTTTCTGAGTAGGTAAGAGAAGCTTCCATTTATTACATTTATAAAAGAATTTCATTCTAGGTGTCTAACATTAATAAATAATCAGAGGGATGGTTTCAAAGTATACACACTACCTTAAAGGGCATCTATGGTTTAAAAGTAAACTTTGACTGATAATTCACTGAAAAACAATGGGTAAAAAGCCAGAGGGTATTAAATTTCAAAGATTTGAAGGGAAAATTTTTTTTCCCCCATAACAGTCTCAGATGGAAAAAAAAATTATTTTATTTCCTTCCCTCCATACTCGCTCAGGTTTTTTTTCTGTCGATACAAAATCACACAGTAAGATGTGAGAAACTTTTTTTTTTAAACAGAAAATGGAAATGTAAGTTTATGCATCTCATTCTATCCCCCTTCAAACAGATCAAGGATCAAAAGCAGACAGAATAACCTATTTAATATGTGGTAGAAGTTTTACACCTTTTATGACCAATTAAGGAAAAAGCGTAGCATTCCAAGGATCAGACTAACAGCACTGCGTCGAAATCACTGTACTGAAGGATGTATTCTTCAGTAAGCAGCAGATAACCTGCTAGTGAATGTGTAAATTAGTTTGAGGCACCATCAAAAAAGCAGTATTTAAAAGCTGGACTGCACGACTGGATTGTCTAACTCATCTTGTGTGCCATGAGGACATTCACAGGACGGGAACTTTCACTGGTTAGCACATCCACTGCTTGACGCTGCAGCGCTCTTCCCAACTACACAAAACGGAACAGAAAGGTTTGCGCAGGGGTGTTTGCTATTTACCCCTAGCTATACACATCAGACTTCCCAGCTGTGTGAAGCACCCTTCTCATTTTGGAAGGGCTGTTGTGCCTAGTCATTGCTACGGAAAGGAAATTCAGCAGCCTGGGAATATAACGCGCTCGTAAAGAAAACAGCAGAGAAGCATATTAGGCAATTACTCCAGAAGCAACTCGTGAGCAGGCTTAAGCCCAAATTCACCTTGTGTCCACACTACTTAGCTGCCAGCCAAAGCTCAGGCTTTGGCTGATTTCCCACCTGCCTCCAACAAGCACGGGCCAGACAGGCAGCGTCTGCCCTCCGCCATTCTGTCCCTCCCGCCTGCCCTGCCACTGTGTCCTTCAGTCGGCATCAGAGACGGACCAAAGGGTCCTCCAGAGAATCCAAACGACACGTCTCCAGAGCAGCTAGACTTCACAGGCAGCATGGGTTTGGGCTGCCCTTTCACACCGTCGCTGCAGCCATCCAGCTGCACACATCTGGTGACTGGAATAGATACAGCGGGGCCAGGCTGCAGCTTGCCTGGCCA